CCACCGACGTTTCTGAGGAACGCATGCCTCCATCTTCAGGGTCTAGAAATTAAGGCAACCAAGCAGTAAGGAGCAGACCTGTGCTTGCCATCTGGTCGCCCTAGAGTATTCTGGATAGAAGAACATTTATATAAATGCTTTTTAAATTTCGGTAGCAATGTTCTGTGTATTCAGTTTCCTTATCCCAATTAGGGGAAGGGGTAGATGTCTGACTACCCCCCCTCGCCTGTCAGTGCTTGTGCAATCAATGAGTGGTACTCAGAGAATCTGCGGTTAGAAGGAAATCCCGTCGGCCACAACGTCACATAGCAGGTGGACAGGACCCGTTGCGTAGTTCTTGTCACAGCAGTCTAACCGGGAAAGTCCTGCCGTGACATTGCCTTCCTGGCATCGTAAAAGTCGCCAGTGCTTTTCCTTCCGAATGGAATTATTCTCGCTAAAATTTTGTGAATGTAATTAAAATATGAAACACGACGTTAAAACCAGTGCCTATGTGAAATGTGGTACACGACTGCAGATGTACAGGCACATGTAACATTACCTCAGGGCTTAATTAGTTAAGCACTATGCCATGTAGACATATGGGGGACTTGAGGCACAGCTCCACATTTCTTGACCTCGGCACTAGGTGGAGGTGAGTGATCAGCTTCACGCCCCGGCCGCTTCACTCCCAGCGAAAGAGCTCCGACTCCCCATTGAATAAATGTTTGAGTGGGCCCCAGAACCGGTATGGACGAAATGAAGAAAAGAAAATTGTTGACCCCACCGGGACTCGAACTCCGACCCTCTGTCGTCCAACCTGTAGCCAGTCGCTATACCGATTGCGCTATCCCGGATAACTTCCATGAAAGAAACTGGTGTATACTCAATCTACAACCATCTACAACAACGTCGAGGATGCGTCATCGCTAGTTAGTGACGTAGTTGGGTTACGTCATGATTACAAAGTCTTAAACACACTGCCGGTATTCATACATACTTAGGAGTCGGTATAGGGACTGGCTATGGGCTGGACGACACAGGAATCAGAGTTCGAGTCCCGGTAGGGTCAAGAATGTTCTCTGCTCCAAGTCGTCCAGACCGGCTCTGGGGTCCACCGAAGTTCCTATCCTATGGATACCGGGGGCTCTTTGCCCCGGGGGGTAAAGCGGCTGGGGCGTGAAGCTTATCAATCATCTCCATCTAGTTCCGATGTCAAGAATATGTGGATCTATGCATCCACTCCCCCATACGTCTTCATGCTTATACAGCTCTCTGATAAGGGAGCTGCACGGTGTATGACAGAGTGCATCGACTTTATAGGGCTGCCGGTTTTGTATGTATCCTGCTTTTATAACCCGTCCGTTTTGTGTGAGGGTCGGTATTCGTACCGCTTGCAAATGATATTATGTTTTGCAGTGTGAAATATCACCGGACGTTTCATTCGACTGGCTCGCAAACATGATTTGTATTCAGGAAATCCAGGGCTTCAGTTTCATCTCAAAGATGAGCTCTTTTTGAGTGGTTGTCAATCATTTCAGGCAAATCATGGTGGAGCGGCCTGAAACACGACCTTCCGTGTCTTCCTCATTTAATTCGCAGACAACTTTCGTAACTACTCGACGAACAGCTTGAAGTCATGTCAGTTTTTTGGCCGACGGCAGTATACGTGTATGTCCACTCTCCTCTCTTCCCTCGAACGGTATCAGAGGTGTGTCTAGCCGTTACGCAATGAAAGTCACAAGCAAGGTGCCTAGTCGGTATGTCATTAATGCCAATACCTCATTCCGATAAAGGTCTTTGTCAACTTTCGACCTTCGTAAAAACTTCTCACTTAAGTACTTCGCGCCGATCACCTAAGATATAACCTCCGCTGTTGAAAAAGAACAGTTATATCTTTATTCAAAACATCTTGCATGGTTCGTGATACCTTGAGTAGGCAACTTTACGGAAGAAAAACTCCCCGTGTTCAACGAGATCCTTCCTAAAGGCGATAAAAAAGTGCTTCAGTTTCTGAAGATGGCGCACCCTCAGATGTGTTTCATACACTACGAGGCCAGGGTACGAGGGGAGACAAATAAAGGAAACAGAGGATCACAACGAGGAATTAAAAAAATCCACAAAAATTGAGAACCAGCAAATGTTTCGCCACGGACGGCTCAGAAATGGAGAACAAACCATTCGTATGATTCGCAACGATACAAGTGATGGAACTAGTTGAAATTCCGGGATAACTAAGATGGCATCCACAATCACAGCGGAAGTACTAGGAACTGGCGAAACACAAGAAATGATCGAAAAATATAGACTCGGAGCAAAATTTAGTGATTTTCTCGGGCTCGGAAAGCGAGCTAAAAGGAATTAGTAACTGCTCTACAATGACAACACATCGCACATTACACAGATGCTTAAAGATAAAATAGAGAATTTGAAGTTCCGGGGGGGGGGGATCCAGTTTTACTGGATGCCGGGCCACTGCCGAGTTAAGTTAATGAGAGGGCCGACTTGGGGGCCAAGCAAGCAATCAAAGAAGGCACAGATAGTTACTGTTACCAGTGGCAGATCTTAAAATCCGGGGGAAAAAGAAGGGCAAAGAGGAACACCGAAATGGACGGAGGAGAACACTGCTAGAGGAATGGCTCGTCTCCGTCGTTCCGCGAGATAAAAATGAACTGCCGTGCCTTCGTGTCAATAAACCGCTTGAGAGCAGGCCACTCCAGTCTTAAAGAAAGCTTAAGCAGATTTAACATTGTGTTCAAGGCCGAATGCGAATGTGGTGACGGGCTGCAAACGGAGGAACATATCCTCTGGAACTGTAAACTGTACGAGGACTAACGGGCAACAATGAAGGACATTTTGTCTGAGAACTGCAAAAAGAAAGAATACTCAAAATCAGTTACAGAGCTCTTAAGACTAGAGAGAGAAAAAATTGTGCCAGGCGTCGATTACTTCATAAACAAAATTTATAAATTTACTTAAAAGAGAGAAATGCACAAAATATTAATTGTATATTCTTCTCTGTGGTTTAGTGGTCAGAGTTCCTGGCTGTAGATCCAGATGTCCCGGGCTCGATTCCCGGGGCCACCAGATTTTCTGAGAAGTAGAGGGTCTGGAACGGGGTCCACTCAGCCTCGTGAGGATAACTGAGGAGCTATTTCAAGGAAATAGTGGCTCCGGTCTAGAAAACTGAAATTAACGACCATGGGGATTCATTGCGCCGACCACGCGACACCCTCTATCCGCTAAAGTTGGCACTAACTTCGCCGACAAGAGGCGGTCGCTCGGTCGGTATAGTTCTCTTGCGGACTAAAGCCACGGAGTTTGTTTTGTTAGCGTTAAACTAAGAGATATATTCAAAAATTGCGGGGCGATCGCCATGATGGAACAAGATGTTTATAAGAGTGTGCTACAGAGGGCCGGATTGGCATTGCCTAGGCCTTTTTTGTACACACATTTATTTTGCAAAATAAAAGAAAAGCACACGACGGTTGACTCAAGAACAAGCGAACGCAGTGCACTAAATAGCAATACACGTATTGTTTTCAGGGCTGGTGACCGACAGCAATGGCGATATGTCAGCTGATGATAACGAGTTTTGCTATGTTCCTGGGGCTGAGTGTATCATCACAACCGTCATCAAAACCTAATATCATTATCATCCTAGCCGATGATCTGGTAAGACTGGTACAAAATAATGACCCCGTTGAATATACAGGCCGTGTTTTCAAACCTGGCCTCTGAGCTGCGCCGCGAGGAGTGTTATTGCAATAAGCGGAGGATCAGTGGTTGCAGCTGCAATCGAGTCCCCTGACTAACACATGCACACTCTACTCCAGTGGACGCGACCAAATCCACTACGCAATCTGTTGGGAAGAGACAGGTCTAAAGTCACGGACTGTATTTGCGACTCCCCTTCACTACAGCAGACACGGGGTAGCGTAGTTGGTTGAGGCACTATGCTACAAGCCAGAAGGTCGCGGGTTCGAGTCCCGATAAGGTACTTGGATTTTTCAATTTACCTAATCATTTCAGCCGCACTATGACCCTGAGGTCAACTCAGCATCTAACAGAAATGAGTACCAGGAATCTTCCTGGGGGTGAAGGCCGGCCGTCGCGTTAGGCTCACAAACTCACCGCCATCTGTGAGAATTGCCTAGAAAATGTGGGAGCCTCGACGTCTCACAACCCTATGGGCCTCCACGGCTTGTTACAGGAACAGCATTTTCATTTACCTTACCTTCGCCACAGCGTCCAGACAGACTTTGGGGCTTTTCGAGCGCCGTGTCCAGTACCTAAACTCCGTGTAATATGTGGACGAGGGCACGTCATGGCGTAGCCTGTTGCGTCGTCATTAGAACTTCATTAGACACGAGGATGAGAAATTCCGATATACTTACACATAACTTTTCTTCTGTAAGGTTGCCTACCCTGGTTCATAGAGTAGATGGGCCTTACCAGAGGCTATACCCGTGGGGGGTAAAGCGACCGGCAAATAATGCTGAGGTTTATGAAGGCATGGAGAACACGAGCCTGCATGGTTTATGAATTTTAATTATTGACAATGAAAAAAAAAATTTAATTAGCATCAAGAAATTTTAAATAATTTTTTTTTTAAACTTTACATTCCCAGGAAACTGCTGTGTTTGTGAAATGTTCTATTTTGTGTACTATGCATTGTAACATATAAGTGTACGTACTTTACGTCTAAACAACTTATGTGAAGGTGGTTTCCTATTTGTAGTGATGTTTGCCCTCTGAAGATGGTCCGCAGAGACCGAAACATGTAAGGGTGTTAAGTTTTTCATGTAGTAATAAACTTACAGGTCACATTGGACGGAGTGATTTATATTTGTGATACCTCCTTTCTCCATACGTCATCATGGCGTAATGCTTATAAGGACAACTATGCCTTTACCTCGTACTGAACGTCGCTAATGTTGGCAACGTTTTGTGAAGGCCACCTCCAACTCTAGTGCAGGACATGTTTCCTCGACATCTGCTGTATTGTGTGGTCTGTTCAGGGATGGAATGACGTAGGCTTCCACGGATCCGCGCAGATCCCGACGCCAAACATTGACGCGCTGGCCTACAACGGCATCATCCTGAATAGTCACTACGTGCCTGCTCTGTGCACCCCTTCCAGATCCTCACTCATGACGGGGAAGTACCCCACACACACGGGTAAGTACTGAGCTTGAACAGCTCAGGTTCTCCTTCAAGTGGTTTGTGCTGATTTGTTATGACGTGAGCCGGTATAGCGACTGGCTGCCGGCTGAACGGCCGAGGGGTCGGACTCTTCTCTATTCCACAGTGTCAAGACCGGTCCTAGGGCCCACCAAGCCACCTATCCAATGGTTACCGGGAGTAAAGCGGCTGGGGCGGGAAACTGACCAATCAGATCCAACTAATGCCGAGGTCAAGAATAAGTGGATCTATATATCCACCCCACCCCCCCATACCTCTTCATCGGGTAGCACTTAGTTGGTTAAACACAGGGACAATTTTACGTATTTGTTATGTCAGTCTTGTGTATACATGGCTCATCTGAACAGAGGGGAAGTACCGACAATTTGAAAGCACGTGACATCGCATATTTTTCTTGCATTTACCGCCGTGGTGTCAAGGACAGCAGAACAGTAATTTGCAGCTGGCCCTCGCTATAACCCATAACCATATTTTTTGTTCGTTCCAAGATAGCTTATATCTTTTGAGAGGGGAGGGGGGTCCGACTTCTACTCCCGACTACCGCCGACTCATTGTCTGAATGACTGTCCTGCAGTACTTGGCTGCTGGCTATCGTCAGGCCGCCGTGCTATATGATGATCCCTTTATGCATTAAATGGTTGCCAGGTAACATGCATTAAAGGGCTCTGGGCCTCTGTATCCTTTTCCGGTTCCGTCGAGCAGAGTGGAATGTCCATTGCGACCTGCTCACATAACCAAGAAAATCTATCACTCTCCACATTTCGACCTTGAAGAAAGAGACAGCACGATACTCCGAAACGTTGCTATAATGCCACAAGGTGTCACAACCCAGAAGACCACAATCTGAAAATTTATTTTATATGGCGTCATCCCATGCGACAGAGCTGACGAAATATTTTGCAATAACTCCGGCAGGAAAATGTATTCTCCTTGATTCACCGGACATGCTTCATATGCAATGTTCTTGCTTCCACATGCACGTGGCGATGTGGTCGTGAAAACATTGGAAGGATGTTGGAACACCGTCCGGTTTGTATGTATGTGCCCCTCACTGCCCCTCGCCCGAACAGTTGGAATGTTCCTATTCGGTGCACCAGAATTTGTCCATCATACACATGTGCGTTGGTGTCACTGGATGTGAATATTCTTGCACCAAAAATTGGGGTCCTTAACCCGTCCTCCGACATGAACTTGAGATTTTCTCGAAAACGGGCCCAACGAGCTTCATTTAATCTCAGTACTTTGTAAGACCATCCCCTCCCCCAAATTAAAATATATAGGCGCTATCTTCGCGAAAGTAACAGTACGCCCTCTGGTGGCCTAATATACGTATTTGTACCCACTGTTTTACGTTATCAAGAGTTCCTTCATATTTACTGCCCACGGTTACCGTCCTTGGTTTATGATTTTGAAGTTAAATGACCTACTTTAAATTGTAGAATTTCCGCAGTATCTGCTCGAACGGTAAAACAGAGTTTCTTTTTCACTGGTTCTACAGCCTCCTTGGGCCCTGGCCTCTGATTTTCAGTTTCATTATCATTTTTCAGACGGTATGACTCCTTGGATGAGTGATCAGCTCGTCGCAATAAAACATAGTATTGGTGAATTAATTACGGCACTGTACCTATTGAAATATAGGATATTGGTGGGAAAGCCGGAAGGAAAGAGACCACTTGGGAGACCTAGGCATAAAGGAGAACATAATACAGTATCATAAGTGATCTTGAAAGAACCATGATGTGAATGTGTGAATTGGATTAATCTGGCTCTGGATAAATACCAGTGGCAGGCTCTTGTGAATAAGGGGACGCGGTAGCGTAGTTGGTTGAGGCACTATGCTACAAGTCGGAAGGTCGCGGGATCGAATCCCGATGAGGTGGATTTTTCAATTTACCTAATCCTTCCAGCCGCACTGTGACCGTGGGGTCGACTCAGCCTCTAACAGAAATGAGTACCAGGAATATTTCTGGGGGTAAAGGGCGGTCGGCGCGTAAGGCTGACAACCTCAGCGCCATCTGTGAGCTGATTGTCTAGATGTGGGAGCCTCGACGTCTCACAGCCCTGTGGGCCTCCACGGTCTGTACAGGCAGAGCGTTACTTACTTTAGGCTCTTGTGAACAAGGCATTGAACCTTTGGTTTTCGTAAAAGACAGGTAATTTCTCCACCACTTGTGAAACTGCAAGCTTCTCAAGAAGGACTGCACAATCCATGACAGGTGTGTTTTCTTCTCTCTGTGTCTCTCAGGCATGCAGCACTTGGTGATCCTTGCCCCCGAGCCCTGGGGCCTGCCCCTCTCAGAGAGGCTGATGCCTGAGTACCTGAAATCTGCAGGATATGCCACTCATGCGATTGGCAAGTGGCATCTGGGCTTCCATCGCAGGGAGTACACACCCACGTACCGTGGGTTTGACTCCCATTATGGCTACTGGAATGGATACCAGGATTACTATGACCACACAATGAGAGCAACGGTAATTGTACCTTGGTCTCTTTACTCACCATATAAAAATATCCGCATGTACACAGAAATCTAAGAGTCACGAATTTCTATTGTTGACAACGTGCATATTCAGTGAAATCGTGATTTATTGCACGATATTAGATCAGTGGAGGAGTTATCTGTGGGGACTGTTTATTTCGACAGTTGTGCCTGTTTGTTTCATTTGAAGTCATTCAGAATAACGTGTGGCTGTGTGTTAATATTGTGACATGTCAACACATTGCCAGGCAACGGCTCGATAAACACCCTGCATTACACGCACGCAACTATAGAACACCGGAGTTATGGAAACCGTTTCTAGGCAACGGCTCGGTAAACACACTTCCCATAGGCAGTGACGTCACACAACAGACCTACAGAAAACGTGATGTGTTTTCTGTAGGTCTGCGCCGAAAGTTTGTGGGGGATAGCAAAGGTCGTTTGCGGGCAATAGACCCGTCCGCTCGTCAGAGAGGGCGCCCCACAATAACAAGACAATAACTGTCAAACAGTAATAAATATCCTGCCGTAAGCCCCAGATTGGGCTCGACACAAAGACTGACTGACCGTCAGTCGCAATGTGACTTTAACTTTCGTTTGCGGGCAGTCGTAAGCTGGAGGAGTGAGTAATAGATGGACTCCGCTTGAGTTCCGAAGTTCCAAGGGAACACGTGTGTGGCCAGAAGAAGTATTAGGAGACTTAGTGTGTGACGTTACATGTGCTGTAGTACGTCGATATTGAGAGTGTTTAATTCAGTGAGAATTTTACAGTTCCTGTGTTGAGATCCGTTGCCAGAAGACGACTAGTGAAGACGGAGAATCCTAGTGCGTGTGCAGCGGTGAACAGAATAGCTATGGCATTATGATTAAATATGATTAACAGAACTTGTAACCGAAGTGATAATAAATCCAGTAATCAGATCCAGAACCCGTTATTTTCGTCACGCGTATCCCCGTACACCTGACAATATAATAGATAGCTTAAAAGATAAGTTGGCCCCATGCTTAACTAATTAAACATTACAAAAATGAAGTGGAAGAAAATGGCATGGATGATGGTAATATTAAATTAATGGTGAAATTTTAAAATGTCTATCCATGCTCATTTTGTGTCTGAGTGCCAAATCACTCAACCATCAACTGTTGTTGATCATGCCGTGACCAAAAGAAATACACGTATCTCCCTGCTGCTTAGCGGTGAACTAAGCAATCACCACAGTGACACTCGTTTGGCCATAAAGAGACTTAGATATTTTTGTAAGAATTTGTTTTTAACAATCCTGCTGAAATTTCCCTAGATTTCATGTGAGTAAAGAAGATTAAAAATTGAAACAAAAGAGGTTTTAAGTTTACTTTTTGTTTTATATGGCTGTGAAACTTAGTCTTTCACCATATGGGAGGTAAAGTATATACAGGGTGTTTGAATATTTTTACCCATGACATGTGAAGCGATAACAGACTGGCGAAAATGAAATAATGAGGAGCTTTTTAATTAATTTTCTTCACTTAATATTACTAAAGTGATCGAGTCAAGTAGAATGAGTGGGAAAGGCATGTAGCGTACATGGGACAAATTAAAAATACATAAAAAGAATTAAAACGTCTATGTATCCACAGTGCGCCAATAATGCAACAATTGTTTATTCGCCATTTAACACTTAACACAACGACCATCTTCAGGTGTCTTAATGTATCGAAACTGTTACACTGTTCTAACGTCCGCTAAAACCGCGCTCTGCGGTTTATTTTCAAGTGGACTGCAGCGCGCGGTTTTAGCGGACGTTAGAACAGTGTAACAGTTTCAGTACATTAAGACACCTGAAGATGGCCATCTACGGCCGAAACATGTTGTGTTAAGTGGTGAGTAAACAGTTGTTGCATTATTGACGGACTGCTTAGCAGTTCCTACAGACGTTTTAATTAAAGTTTTGCAACAGGATGCTGAAATAGAGAATTTAAAAGCCTGAAGGAAGACTGATATATATCATAGAAGGATAACATTAAAATATATATTTTATGGATGGAATATATTAGTGTAGGTTGGATTGAACTTATTCAAGGAAGTTTCCAGTAGCATGCTGTTGTGAATATGGCAATGATCCATCGGGTTAGGCAAAGGCAAGAAATTTGTAGACTAGTTGTTTCACCATCACCACTGAAGGATGATTTTATACAACATAACTTGTTACTTAGTTATTTAAGTAGTTAGGTATTTGTTAGTCAGTTGGTTACAATAGTTTGTATTTTCAGCTAGTGCCATACAAAGGCTATGACATGCGCCGCAACATGACTATCGACTGGCAGGCTCGCGGACTTTATTCCACCGATTTGTTCACGAATGAGGCCGTGCGTGTCATTGAGACACACGACAGCGAGAAGGGGCCACTGTTCCTGTATCTGGCACACCTAGCGCCTCACACCGGCAACCCTGAGGAGCCATTCCAAGCTCCGGATGAAGAAGTGGCAAAATTTGCACACATCGAAGATCCAGAGAGGAGAATGTATGCAGGTAGAAGTCTTGGACATTACATATTCCAGGCTCCTCGACATTCTCTATAACAGATATCCATCTTTATTTATTATGTGTCTTTTGCCTCCATCTCTTCACTTCTTGTAAATCATTCTCTACATCCTAAGCAGCAAAATATAACTAATTGCCCCTGTAATATTTCTTTAACCATTTTCCAAAGTTTTCCATCCAGTATCTCTATGTGTGTTAGCATGTAGTATTATGAAGTGAGGTTGTTAGTCTCACGCACTGCCTCCATTCTGGATGACCAGGAACTACATTTAATCTGGCCTCTACCCTTCATCCAGGAGTGCTTCCGCTAGCATAGCTCCCTGGGGGCATGCAAACCTGCCCACTACATTAAGGTAGTAGCCCCAAGGGAGAAGATCTTTAATATTAGAGAATAATATATTTACACCAGCAAGCTCCTCTTTTCATGTTTTACCTGAGGATGACGATAGACCAGACGATAGAAGGTGTCAATTTTTGGAATTCTGTATATTAACCCTTTGAAACAGAATGATTAGTATATGTAAAACCTTATTTGATATCTGAAAACCCTGCATTCTACCCACAGAGGGTACTTATGTGTTTTGTATGATTCTCACAATAAAGAGCAGTTATTTCCCTAAACAGCATTAAATCATGTAAGATTTGAGGCTTTCACGGCGGTGACTATGAAGAAAGCAGTTTTCTGGGATTTGGCACCGTGTATATGTAACACCACATATACACGGTGCCAAATCCCAGAAGACTGCTTTCTTCATCAGCATTAAATCAGTTTGTATGTATGATGGAGATACAGTGTTTTTCCTGTGAGACAGAAAATGAACTATTGAATGTTATTTAATGAACTTCGAGGGTCAAAGGGCTAAATCAAACGATTCATAAAGTCCAAGTAAAGTGTCATACATGTTTCATTAAGGTTATTGATAGTCATTTGCTTCTTGTCGGCAGCAATGGTGTCAAAGTTGGACCAGTCAGTTGGTGATGTAATGGCAGCATTAAGAACAAGAGGGATGCTTCACAACTCTGTTGTATTGTTCATGTCTGACAATGGGGCACCCACATTTGGGGTGCATTCCAACAGGGGTTCCAATTTCCCACTCAAAGGGGTAAGTGAAATTGAGCATATGGAGAAGGAAGAGAATCTTTTTGTGCTTTTGAAACTGTTGCTGTAATAGCAATGCAGTACAGCTGCTGCAACTGATGTACAAGCATGACCTTCAACTGTGCTTGCAGATTATGTCTAAGACATCATTACTTGAGAACACCATACAAGTCACAGCACAGAGTTGCCATCAATCATCACTTTGGCCATCAACTCAAATTGGGGTAGTAGAAACCCCATTTTCAATCCCTCCCCCCCCCTTCCACTTAGTTACTGAGACAAGGCCAAGCTCACAGATCAGTTGCTGCAGTTTATCAGAGACTGGCCCTATGGGAAAAATCATAATTTAATTTGTATTATTTATCAGAAATATCATAAATATTAGTACTCTTCTTGATACTCAGATTGTGAAAAGTTGGATAAGGGTGAAGTGGTACTTCTTTCTGTTTTCTTTGTAATATAGTTTGTGTTTTGTACACATTTATATATATTTTAAAATGAACTAGTAAGCTTTAGTTAAAACAAGAAATTTAGCCTTCCATTATTATCTCACTTAGTAACATATGATTAATTCAATGTGCAGAGTCATTCTTGGGAAGCTGATAATGGCTCAGCTTGTCAGAAAAATATTCTCTATTTTATGAAACCCAAAGTTTGTGCCAAATTGGAAAGCAGAAGAAGGAGAATATAATGTGTACACAGTTCGAGACTGTCAAGATAGCTAGCTCACTATTCCAATGGATAGTGTGACTTCCTGCAAATGAGAATTGTCATCAGATGCTACCATTTTAAGCCAAAGCACCTACTATCTTCAGCTGTTAAATTTTTTTACCTTTCCAGTGGAATATTAATTGGCATTCAGATAGTTAAATTGGTTGCACTGGCATGAAGTATGCTGTTTTGTATATGAAATATCTCAAGAGGCCTGACACATTTGCGTATCTCATGAAGTATGCAGTGTTTTGTAGATGCATCACATGAAGTATGACATGTTTTGTAGATGAATTACCTCATAAAGTATGTTACGATTGCAGATAAAGTATTTCATGAAGTATCCTATATATTGCAGATGAAGGAGAGCCCATGGGAGGGAGGTGTGCGAGGGGTGGCTGCCCTGTGGAGTCCCCTTCTGCACTCTACCCAGCGAGTCTCAAATCAGTTAATGCACATTGCAGATTGGTTGCCCACATTTTATTCTGCTGCAGGTACACTTAATCATTAGAAAGTGAATTAAATTATTGTCTCCCCCCCCCCATGTGATCTGTTCTGATGTAGAATTCATTCTGAACTTATGAATTCTTAGATGTCTTAGCAGACTCCTTATATGGGCGATTACACCATCACAAAAACTTCACCTGCACAGAGAAACATGGACATATATCCATGTCTCAAGCAGAATTTGAACCTGTGAATCCAATGTATGAGCTTAGAATGTGCAGCCACTTTTATCAGGATTAATTTGTTCCATGATAACTTATTTAATGACACAGTATCAGCTGCAGAGATTATTTAACAATGAATGAGATAATGATGATTTTATTCTGTATATGTGTTCTACACTGTCCTTCAAGATACATTTAACATTGCATCTCCATATTTGTTTCTACTGACATACTGTGAGTGTATTGATAGGTAAGGGGCAAGCCATAGCTCAGGCAGTTAAGTCACTGAAATCTCACTGAACAGGTCCAAGATCAATCACACGATTGTCAATGTAGAATTTGTTGTGGACAAATTGGCACTGGGACAGGTTTCTGTCCCAGTGCTTTTGTCTTCCAGTGCCAGTTACCATTCTACAAATTCTCCATACCCATCAATCATTAGGGGTTTTTACCCCCTTTGTGGCCTCAGTGCCAAAGGCCTTATCTCTTGCAGTTCTCAAGAGGCAGGATTGTTAATAAACTTGAAAGGCTTAAAGATATTTGTAGGTATGAAGGTTATTAATTCATTTAACTTAAAGTATCCCTTATACATTTCATGAATATTCATGGCTGTTATGTACACAGTTGAGCCTATTATTGACAGAGATGGCTGCCGTTTGATGTGGGCGTTTCATTTCTAAAAATCACCAGGTATATCGAAAACAGGTGAAACAAGAAGTGCACTGAATAAAGAGTGAGCATGTTGGAGGAACAGGAAGTGATGTGACTAAGTGAAAATGGTTGGGCAAAACAGGGAAAGTGGCCATGCCGCTCACTGCACATGTGCAGCAGATTGTGTCATGGCCACAGGTAAGATACCAGTACTTCTCATGACACAGAAACTAACCCATTGGTACACAGAAATTCTGATTACAAAAGAGTGTATAACTAGAGTTACTGGCATTGATAGTGACATTGCACGCTATCCAGTAAACAACCATACTGCATATTAAATATACCTCAGGAACTGAACAACATGCAACAGCATTAATGTATGGTAAATTAAACATAGGCATGAACCTTTGAAGAATTAGGGATGTAGGTTTTTTTTGTGGTGATTAATCATATTGTGGTCTTTGGGTTGTAACACCATGTGGAAGGATGCCAACGTTTCAGAAGAGTATACTGCTTCCATCTTCATGGTTGAACTCTTGAGGCAGAAATTTCCTCCAAGTGTCATACCTGCCTATAGAACTACCCAGCACCACAACTTGCAACACAATATGAATCGTTAACTTGATGTTCAGACAGTGAATCTGAAAGAAGAGGGAACCCTGGAATTTGTTCCCAAGTCACTATCTGAACATTTGTCCAGAGAGAATGAGAAAACCCATGGAAATATTCATTCAAGGTACTTGGTCCCTCACTGGAACGCAGAATAGGATCCATGCTAAATGTGAATCGGACATAAGTCGCATGCACTGTATCGAATATTCTTTATGTAAGAAAGTGAATAGTACAGAATTAACGAACCCTTTCGAAGTTATGTGATTGTTTGATCAAGAACACCGTGGTTTTCATGATTTTGACTTCCTATCTGCATTATTATTCATCCTTTGTGTCAGTGAACATCACAGACAATCTGTATATTGTAGATAAATATAGAAACAATATTTATGTCTTATTTATCATGAGTGCTGTAAAGAGACAAAAGAAAACTTTTTGTTGAGCAAGATCTGACATGGAAAGGGTCAGTGGGGAGATCATGGCTGTTATTTTTCCTGCAAACTCTTATAAACCTGGATGTATATTTTTAGGCTCAGATTTCCTTAAATGTCAAAATAAGTGTTTCCACTCTCATAGGTTTGGATGTGCGTGACTTGGGTAAGATTGATGGGATTGACATGTGGTCGACTCTCTCAGAGAATATTCCATCACCACGATTAGAGATTCTCCACAATATAGACCCTATTGATGATTATGCAGCATTACGAAGAGGAGACTGGAAGTATGTTACAGGTACAAGGATTCTATCTGAATGAAAGGTTATTGGAAATAAAATTGCAGTAATATTATTTCTGTATTGTGAAATACCATGAAAAAAGTTCTTGGTCTATTTAGTTCTATCATGTACTGATATTTCCACCTACATGCACTGTCCTTTGTCAGAATATTCTCCATTCTCCTATGTCCTCTCATAATCACTCCTTTATCTGTCTCCACTTTCCCCCTTAACTATCTCGTTCTTGGTCACCCCAGTAGAATGCGATTGCCATAATCTCATAACACATGCCCATACTACTGTCTGACTCCACACAGCTAAGGCCTTCTTTCTCAGCTTATTATGAAATTACCAGCATATTGTGGAATATGAAGATTCAGTATGGTGTGTTACTGTGTTCACAATTAGCTGCCAGTGATCCCTGTCCCAAGCCAGATGAATCCAGTCTACACTGTACTATTCCATTTCTTTAAGATCAATCTTATTATTATCCTCCTGACTCCACCTAGGTCTTCCAAGTGTTCTTCCTACCAAAACTTGACATGCCTTTCTCTTCTCTCCCATGCATGCTACATGCCCCACCCATCTCATCCTCCTTGATTTCTTTATTCTAATAGTATTTGGTCAGGAGTACAAGTTATGAAACTCCTCACTATGCAGTTTTCTCCATCCTCCTGTTCCTTGCTCACTGCTACATCCAAATACACTCCTCAGTACCCTGTTCCCAAAATACCCGTGCTCTTCCCTTACTCTGAGAAACCAAGTTGCACATCCATATAAGGCAACAGATTGCTAAGAAAAAATATTCTGAACTGAATGAAGGTAATAATTTTCCAAATTTAATCTGCTATTACAGGGTTTGTCCGGAAAGTAATGCAATTTGTTATTTCCTGCCGCTCCTCCTGGTCGCAGCACGTTCGGACCGGATGGGAAAGGGGGGGGGAGGACTCTTAGCTTCACACCGCTTCCAAACTCAGTCTGCTCTGAGCTCTGGGAGCGTCAGGATCGCCGTTTCCATGAACCTCCTGCTAGTGCCTGTGTTATGACGTGCAATGGAGAAAACTATTGAACAACATTACACGATCAAGTTCTGTGCTAAACTGAACAAAACCTCGCCGACACCCACCAAATGATTCAGGAAGACTACGGGGACTCTGCTCTCTCCTATTCTCAAGTCTCCAGATGGTTAAAGTTGTTTAAAAATGGCCGGGAAGAGGTGTAGGATGACCCCCGCTCTGGACGGCCGTCAACCAGCAAAAGTGACAAAAATGTGTCTCATGTTCGTGATCTTTTAAATACCGATCGTCGCACTCGAAAGGAGATCGCTGCTACCTGGCAGCTGCACCACGACAACACTCTCAGCCACACCGCTCTACGCGTCCGGGAGTTTCTGGCCAAACACAGCTTGGTAACGTTGCCCCAGCCCTCCTACAGTCCTGACCTGGCCCCAGCAGACTTCTCTTTGTTCCTGAGGATCAAGAACACCCTGAAAGGAACCCGTCTTGGAACCATTGAAGCGATCCAAACTGCCGTGACAAAGGCTCTAAACGAGGTCCCCGTCGACGACTTCCAGGATGCGTACCGTGCATGGAAAAGTCGCTGGCAAAAGTGTGTGGATGCCCAAGGGGGTACTTTGAAGAATTTTAAACATTAGTAACGATATACTGAATAATTTTTTCTACAAACTTAATTGCATTACTTTCCGGACAAACCCTGTATTTCTTCATTGGTGCAAATTCGGTTTGTCATTCCCACATGTATGCAAATTTCCAAAGGATCCATTAATTGTCCTTAGTTTTCTCTGCATGTTCATACAACTGTTTTTAATTTTGCCAATTTCTCTGTACTGTTTCTACCTTTGAATCTTCTGTGATGTTTCAGTTTCAGATTTTATCCCACTGATTGATTAATTCTTGGTTTACTTATCAGCGATTGTTCAAGTTTCTTGTTTATGTAACACTAAATGGCAGGATGAGTTGTGAACTGGAAAGGACACTGAAGGAAGCAGTTATAGCGCTATTAACAAAGGTATTATCCTGGCTTTTGTCTAATGGGATGGAGAAAAATCATGAAAACCTGAACCAAAATTGCTAAACTCTGTGTTATCTCTTCTTCTTCACTTCTTAGCAAACCCCATGAAGAAACATCTCTTCAATCTATAACCTGCTTACAGCCTCTGGTCTTGTCATTACTTCCTGTGACTGTATTCTGCATTCAAGAACTTTGGAAAACACTACATTACATTACAAGTAAAATATGAAACAACATTTTAATTATCTCTTTGTTTGATATGCATGAAGGCACAACGCAGAACGGAAAAGTAGACGAATGGTATGGTGAATCGGGTTTGGACAGCAAGGGTAAATCGCAAAAGTATGATGTGGACATGGTACTGAACTCAAAAGTTGGCATTACCATAACAGGATTCACCACTAAGCTGCAGCTACAGGCCAAGAAATTGGCAAGAATGTCACAGAATGGAAGCACAGACAAAGGTAAGTTGAAACATGTGTATTATAGCAGCTACTTATATTTTCTTTGCCTTTGTATTAAAAAAAAACATTAGATTATGCAAGACCATATTCAACTGCGGGCTTTGGCATTAGCGCTGTTTGAAATTTGGGATCTGCTGCTAGAAAGTTAGGTAATTAGTAAGATTGATCTTAAGAAATAGGCTGTGAGGATGGGAAGTGGATGGAACTGGCTCAGGATTGTTTCCAGTGCTGTACTTTGGTATTTAGTGATGAAGATTCTTAGGATTTTACCACCAGAGAGTTAGTTCAGTTAGTTAGCAGCATAAGGACTAAAGAAATTTTGTGATATATTTACAGGTGATGGAAGCAAACCACTGAAGCTGCTATCAGAAATGGCTGTAATGTCACTGCGACACCAGGCAGAAGTTCACTGTAATAAAAAGAGTAGTATGTCCTCTTTAAGTAACACCAGTTCTGAGACAGCTTGCCAGCCTCGGGAAGCACCTTGTCTCTTTAACATACGTGATGATCCCTGTGAGACCACAAATCTGGCATTCAGTCAGCCACTCATTCTCCACAGCCTCGAGGAGTCTCTGGAGCAATTCAAGAAGACGATGGTGAAACCTCTAAATGTTCCTGGAGACCCTATGTCAAACCCCACTTACTGGAATGACACATGGGTGAACTGGAAGGATGACACTGTCACTCCTGATGACAGCATTAAAGTCCTACCTTTACCAACAAGTCCTCCGTCAACACTGTCATTCATGACAGTCCTCTCTCTTATTATAGCGCTTTCCATTGTCACTGCTGTCATGAAACTGTCAGTCAATGTTACACCACAGAAAAGTTCCTTTTTCTCTAAGTTCCTCATAAAACCCAAGCAGACAGATATAAGCAGTGATCAGAAAGGAGAAGTGCAGTAATCACTAACTGTAAGACTGAAAAGTTTCACTTATATGATGCACTGTGTAACCTTGTAACACGCAACATTTTTTCAAGGTGAATTCTGATAATTATAGCAAGGTATTCCGAGACAAGTTTTCAATGCCAGCTTCCTTAAAATGCTGTAGTCTCTGTCACAGGGGTGGCAGAAAAAGTCTCATCAGGTTTTATGGATGTGGCCCTCTGCCCTGTTACAATTCAGAATTATTCTAGTATCATTTTCAATTTATACGGGTCAGTTGATGAAATATCTCCAGTCACTTCTTCCTTACAACATACTTTCCGTTTCAGTTTCTTTGCAGCTCTTTGCTCCCTTCCTGAAGTCTTTCAGTACCTAGCCAAACTATTCAGAATTTACTTCACTATGAATCTTTGACATTTGGTAGGATTCCTTGGATGGAGGTTTACATAAACTATCCCAAGGCCTCTGCTACACAACACATAGAAACAAAAAGTGCTTATACATGATTTATCACCCTTTCTCTGTAAAATGGTACTGATAAGACATCAAATAATTTCATTTTATTGAATCTATATACAGGAGAACTGTACTAGTCAAAATCATACTCTTTATTACTTCATCCCATTGTATATGCCCTTAAGTATGTCTGTGTACATATAGACTTCCTGTGTAAGTGTATTTGTATTTTAATATAAGAATATAGAAAATTTCAGTTCCTAAAACTGTAACAGTGTGAGATTCTAGGTTCTTGCATCCGTGACCATGAAGACTGCCATCTTCTGGGTTGTCATATCATGTACCGTGGCAATGCTGTGGAAGTTTTTAGAAGAATTTGCTGCCTCCATCTTCAGGGTAGAACTGTAAGCTGGGCATGGAAAAAAAGAGAAGCTGAGTAGCTTTGTCGGTACAGTGACTAGCTATGGGATGGATGACTAAGGAATTATGGTTCAATTACTGGCTGGGGCAAGAGGTTTTTCTCTTCTCCACAGCTTCCAGACCAGCATTAGAGTCAACCCAGCCTCACATAGGTACTGGATGCTATTTCCTCAGTAGCGAAGTTGCTGGGTTATGAAGCTGACCATCCCCATCTCATGCCAAGGTTAAGACTGCATGGAGCTATACCTCCAGTCCACCATCCATGTGCACAATGTGGTTCTTAACTAGGCAGAGATAACTTTACCTTTACATTTATGGATGTAGGGTCTAGGGCTCTGAGTGAACTGAAATTGGGGGAGAAAGGCAAAAATGTAACGAATGTTGTCCCTTCAAAGGGATGTTCTCCTAGGGCTGAGTTCTTAGAAGAAGTAGTGGCTCTGGGTGGAGCAAGAGGAGGCTGGGGAAAGTCAGAAGAGACTGAGTAAGGAAACAGTGGCCCTTTAAGGGCAGCCGCACACCAACTGCTTCAAGACAAGCATCAAGACATGAGACAAAAGACACAGTCTTGCTTCATTCGTGATTCGTCAGCATCATGACTGAGACCAGTGTGCAGTGGTTTTCAAAGCTCGTTCGTTTCAACTGTGCTCCTTTCTTTGTGTCATGTCGCAGACATCGTGTCTTGACTGTTACATGTCTTGACACATGCCAGTGTGCAGCCTACCTAAAGGAAACAGTTATGAAAACTTCTATCTTTCTGGGATATAATGCAGTGTAGTCCACTGAAAGTGAACTGATGTTTCGCAGGAACACTTCACTCTGATTGCTGCCTGTTTCGTGGTGGTATCTGGCTTGGCTCACCTTTCAACCCTGAAAATGGAGGCAACATATTCCTCTAAAACATCAATTGACTTCCATAAGACTACACAGTGATATAGCCCAAGAGACAGAACTCTTTTACAAATGGCATTCGATTCATTACACTGTAGGGCACAAACACATTCAGCTAATTAAAAGAGATTCTAAATAAGAGGTGCAGCTATATCATTGCCTGGTTGATCGGTATGCGATTTATTTAGTGATGATGTTTCTGCTATAAAGCTTATGTAGCATCAAGCAGTAGGATAACCGTAAAATATTTAATTGGAAAAGATGTAAGAGAAAGCAAGCACAGTCCATTCAAATTAGTGCAACCTAGCATTCACCTGGAGAGACTGGTGGATATAAAATCAGAGTTACCATATCCAGTCTCTGGGTCAAGCCTCAATCCCAGGACCTCCTGAATGCAAAGCAGGATTGCTAATGATTACATTGTGATGTTCGGCCGCCACTGAGATGAGTCAACATCAGTGAATAAACACAGGGTTTGGATTGAGAATTGGATTTATTGAATGATTATGGCTCATAACTACAAATAATTACCCTCTATAAATCACTACAGCACACACCAAATCTTCTCAGTTTATGTCTTGCACTAGTCATTGCTAAGTAGTGTACAGATTTCTCTACTTCCATGTTCATGTCTAACCACCAATTATGAACAATGAATCCTGACTCACAACCAAGTAACTTTCAGTCAGCGGGAATAGGTGGGGGAGCTCTCTTGAGCAGTTCCACGATGATGTCCACTCTGGCGATCATCACCAATGCTCCTGTATCAGTAGTCACAAGACATGCTTTCTTTCTTATCTCTCCCTTGGTATTAAGGCTGTTATTGCACACATATGATAACTTCTCTGTTCATATAAATTCTCTAGCTATGAAATTAACTTTGTTTAGAATGGTTGGGACCAGCTTCCACCAGTCGACCCTGCTTGCTTTTAGCTATGAGTGGAATTTCTTAGTTTCATTAACCGTACTAGAAGGTGGGGGCGATTATACGTACGAATCCCTGGGTCAAAGCCACACTGGAAGCAAAGACAGCATCGCAGTATTTTTGTGCAGCACCTGGGGTTATTAATAAGTGTTAAAAAAGTAAGTAAGTAAAGGTATCCCTGTAACAGGCCGTGGAGGCCCATAGGGTTATGAGATGTTGAGGCTCCCACATTTTGTAGACAGTCAGCTCATAGATGGCGGTAAGGTTGTCAGCCTTACATGCTGGCCGCCCTTTACCCCCAAGAATATTCATGGTACTCATTTCTGTTAGAGGCTGAATCGACTCCAGGGCCATAGTGTGGCTGGAAGGGTTAGGTAAATTGAAAAAATGCAATGACCTCATCGGGATTCAATCCCTCAACCTTCCGGATTGTAGCATAATGCCCCAACCAACTACGCTACCTAGTGGCCCCTATTAATAAGTGTTAAACTATTATAATTCATAATTTATTTACATCCATAAACTGTTACATATATGGTATTGGAACGTGTTGCTGTCTACTGAAGAGGCCGTTCAGATTGTTAATTGGTTTATTTAACAGCCTACAAGTCGTAACTACAATTGATTATAACACTCTTGCGGGTTTACACACGTTACAAACCCTACACAATATCTCTTCACTCTCTCTTCAGTGGTCTTAACGTATTTATAACGCGGGAGCTATACAAGTGTCACTGAATTATACACTCCCAATACCTTCTCAGTTATCACGAACTTGTGAACCTTGTGAACTAGTGAGGTTATTTGTCGCGTTACAAACACCCAACACATGACAGTATGATTAGGCCGATTAGACGTATGTGGATTTGCAAACTGAAAACGTTCTAAAAATGGAAACATCGTACCTCACAAATATCAGAATAACTACAAATAAAGAGCCATGTAGTCAACCCAGTTATCCTCTTTCATCACTTAGTTATAACTTACGGCACAACAGACAGAACACCAATGTTTCATGCGTAAAAACAACATTAATTCGTAGAATTTGAGGTTCTCACTGCAATAGTTGTAACAGTTTATACATTCTGAGACATAACATTAATTTGTCGACTAATTTTTCATAAACAGCTGTTTTGCCATGAATTGGTACAAGACGTACAAGATAACCAACATCGCAGTGCAGAAGATAAAAATCAATAATTACATACGAAGTGATTGGTACAAGTTACACGATGGATCCAGTTGTAATTGATTGATTTATATGTCCAGTGAGCTATGGGAAGGTCTCTTAAAACTGGTAATATCGGAATAAAATGAAAGGTCAGATATATTCTCTGTTGGCTATCCTAGGGCGATGACTCGTTTGGCTCACGTGTAGGAAATCGAGGGAAAAGTTGTTTTTGTATGTACGGGCAGAAGTATGGGTATAGAATAAATCACGTTCGTTTGGTGTTTGTGAAAATGAATTTAATGTTCAACACATCAGCTGTTAACAACACAGCCTGTTTTTCAATAATAGTCATATGATTGGCTCTGTGTAAGTGTACTTTGGTAACAGATAAGTGATTCGTGAATTTCAGTCTGAAGGGGTGGAACCGATGGAAAGCTACGCATGTGACCTGATTACGTTAGTGTAACTTGACATGTATTTCTGTCTTGTGGGTTAACGATTAGCGGAATGCTCAAGACGATTATGCTGCAATTGTGTGAAGGTTACAAATTCATAAACAGTGTATAGGATGTGATACTGGAGGAATTTTTTAATACAGAGGGGAACCATCCTCCTCCAAGTGGCGAGGTTACGGGTGTGCAGACCCAGGCAGACACCCCGCCCATATGTTTCCATGGCAAAGTGCTTGAACAAGCACAGGGACACCTGTCCATGCGTTTAACCCTCTCCTGGGATTTTTAATTGAATAGGAAGAAAGTGTATCAAATATTAATACAACAAGAAATTCTAGGAAGAACTAAGCGCCTCCTTTCCTTGCACAGTTAATTATATGTACATGTGTCCTATTCCAAACGGTTTCCAAGCTACAGGTATTTCACTGTGCAGTACACTGTAAAGACAAGCAACGCACCGTGTCCTCACACGAGCTGCAAAGTGCATTTATGTTTACAGTGGAATTTTCGAAAATTTATTATACTAGGCAAATTGTACCAACTCTGTCACTTGAACAGTATATACCAGTATTAGAAGCAGTACATAATGTCTCTTTATTATCAACAATTTTGGGACTGTACAGTGAAATAGGTCAATATCTAAAACCGTTTGGAATAGGACACATGTACATATACACTTTTTTGCTTAGAATGACCTATACTGTAACATCCCAGAATAATGTCCTTTCCTCTTGGGGCATACTGTGTGTGTATTCATTGCCATGTGAACATGTTTTCCTAACTGTTCCCTAGCAACATCAGTCTCTTCTGGCTTCCAGGCTTCATGTCACATTGCTTCTGCCTTAAGGCTGCTCATCCCAAGTAGCCTATAGGCATACCACTGTTTCTTCTTCATATTTACTGGCGGCAGCTCTTCTTTGAAAGAATTTTTGCAGAACCCATATATACAATTTAACATTGGACTGTATGTCAATTTTGGCCACAGAATGTATGTATGTGTTTCATATGATTCTCACAACAAACAGCGACTTTCACCAAATAACATTGACCAGTTGGTCTTATAATGGAGATGTATTGTGCTTCTGGGGAGGTAGGAACTGGATTTTTATGCATTGTTTAGATGAACTTCATATTTTAGAGTGTTAAACATCATGAATCTTGTTACAGAAACTAGAGGATGAGACCGGTTTTTCTTGTGTCTGCACTGGGGACACTGCTTTTGGCTCTGATTTACCAGTCAGAATGGTTGTCAACATTTATTATTGGTGGAATATTGGCGGTTGCTTTAGGATTGGCAATCATGTTTGTTGCTCATGTGTCCCTTGTGGCAAGATCAAATTTTTCTGCTGTGTACACGAAGCCGACACCTCAATGCAAAACCATACACCGGTATCTTACGGTGAGTACCCATTTTTTTTTTACCATACTTTCCATATTTTGGAAAAATAAGAGTATGCTTATGAAATCACCTTGTGTTGGGATGGGTAGAGGGGTGTACTTGAATGGAATATGTACTTGTGTACATTTCAGGCGTGTTGTTTTTTTAGCACCTTACTGACCCTAATGTTTTATTATAAAACAAAACAAACTCCATGGCTTTAGTCTGCAAGTGAACTATACTGCCACTGTGGTCTAGTGTTCAGAGTTCCTGGCTACAGATCCTGAAGTCCCAGGTTCGATTCCCGGCGCTACCAGGTTTTCTTAGAAGTAGTGGGTCTGGAACAAGGCCCACACAGTCTCGTGAGGATAATTGAGGAGCTACATGAATGGAAATGTAGCTCTGGTCTAGAAAACCAAAATTAATGGCTGTGGGAATCTGTTGCGCTGACCATGTGACACCCTCTATCTGCAAAAGTTGGCACTAACTTTGCCGACAAGCAGCGGCCACTCGCTCAGTATAGTTAATGTTTTGTTATATCTGTTGTTTATTTAATGCAATCTGTCAATCACTGGTCCCTATTCTGAAAGCAGTCAGCACCTTCTCCTCTCTATCCACCCTTATAATTACTAGGCAACAGCTCTGTAAATATTCCAAGGCCGTTGCTGGGCAATTGCTCGGTAAACATATTCCTGGGCCATTGCTAGACAACGTCTTGGTGAACACATTACCAGACCATTGCTAAGCAACAGCTTAGTAAACACATTCCCTCAGCAATGAATACACACACAACAACAGAAGAACTATTGCAAGTTGTGTTTGCTACGCAGTCCATATCATACAAGTATTCAGTAATCAGTGTGTAGTGAAAGAAAAATAGGCAGTTAGTTCTTCCCGGAACTTGATACGAGTATTATCCTCTCATCTGTGCCTAGATATCTGAAGGCAGAGGTCACCTCAATATTAGCAGGTAACCCAAGTGACGTCCAAAGTTACTGCTGTGTATTCCACGATGTTAGTGTTGCCAACCTTAAAAATGTATTTGTGAAAACAGGACCTAGTTGCTTAACCTTAGAATTTGCCCCCAACAACAAGTCACCTAGGTTAGGGTTTTTTGTTTTATTTTTAAAATGTTAGGCCTTTGGTTCAGTTTTGAAAAGTTTGGTTCACGATTTTGTTTTTAAAAATGAGTATCTGTAAACCTTTGGGCTGCGCCATAGGTCAAGCAGTTAGTCGCTGGCTTCCCACCACTGCGGCCCGGGTTCGATCCCAGTTCTGGTCAAGTGGGATTTGTGGTGGACAAAGTGGCGCTGGGGCAAGTTTTCTCCAAGTACTTCGGTTTCCCCTGACAATCTTCATTCCAGCAGTTGCTCCACAATCACCCTCACCTATCATCTGTGGCTGGTACAATAGGCCAGAAGTGGCCGCAGTACAAGGGACTTAGTTCCACCCCACTAGCAATAAAAAAAAAGTCTGTAAACCTTCTATGGTTAGGCTTTGGGTCTTATGTCTTGTATCCGGTAAAGTTGGCACTACTTCGCTGACAAGTGGTGGTCACTTGGTCAGTATAGTTTCCTTGCGGATTAAAGCCACGGAGTTAAGTTAGGTTAAGGAAACTTCTGTAGTTGACTGAACTGACATTGTGGACAACATGACAGTAAAGTTTTAAAATTTTTTTGGGCCCTAATTAATACAAAAGTATCTAGGAAAGAGGCCAAAATGCATACATTTGCAGTCTGCCATGCTTGATTACTGCTCATATCCTTCTGCAGACAGTAATTGAGAGGCAAGATACCAGGGAATGTACTTTGTTTAATCACTACTTTCATTCCTACAGGAACTTGAGACCAAACTTGAGAAGCCTCCCAGATTGCCGGTTATATTTGGACGGATGATTGATGGAATACTACAACAGTTGTTGGACTTGATTCTTCGAGATTATGTTGGCGAATGGTGCAGTGATGCAGGCTTCAAATCTGATGAACTGCTTCAAGATCTGAAGTAAGATTTCTGTACTCCTTCTAGGATGCCTGGGGGGGAATGGGCCATGTTGTGATATACACCTTCCTGCCTCATTTACCCTATAGATGGTGGCTGCAATATATATCAAAACATAACATCTTCAGTACATGATACATCTAAGCCATGGAAGGCTGAAATTACATAAAAGATCATTATGATATGACAGAGTAAAACATAATTTTGCATTTGAGGCTCTCGGGCATTGATTATGAGGAGTGCTATGTGTATCTCTTGTTTGTCACTTGTGCTGCTTTTCCCCTACATTCTCCTATCTCTCAACTTTTGTAGATATGTTAGTTACTCTTCACTTTGCCCCTGTTAGTTCTGTCTTGGCTTCTTTGCAGGCCTATTTCTATATCTGAACCATTTCCATGCGTGTGGCTCGCTCTCCTTGCTGTTTGCTTTTTGACCCTGAAGATGGAGAGAGTACATTCCTCCAAAATGTGGGTGAACTTCTACCAGAGTACTCAGCACCATACTCCAGAAGAAAGTTGCCTTAAAACCGTAGTACACAAGAATTATAATTCTCCTTAATGTCATTGTGTGTGCAATGCATTATTCCATTTTTAGAGCCTTGTACAGTGAATTCTCAATTATCTACAGTAATGGAGGGGAGAGGTAGTCCAGATAATTAAAAACAACCATGAATCCAAAAATCTTGAAATGCACACTATTCATACTTCATTATACTGCAAAAATCACTTACCGGTCATGCCGCTAGTCACTAAACAGTGAGACCAGTGCTTTTCAAGCAGAAGAAAATAAGCCATTTACACTGGTAGGCAGGTGCAAAAAGCAATAAAATAATAAAATTCTTATCTGCCATACTCATATATCATTGTAAAGCATTGCAAGGGGCATGCGGTAGTGTAGTTGGTTGAGGCACTGTGCTACAAGCTGGAAAGTCACGGGTTCAAGTCCTGATGAGGTCATTGAATTTTTTTCAATTGACCAAATCCTTCCAGCTGCACTATGGCCCTGGGGCCAACTCAGCCTCTAACAGAAATGAGTACCTGGAATATACTTGGGGGTAACTGGCGGCCGGTGCACGGCCTGTTACAAGGATACCTTTACTTTTTACTTTTACTTTTATATATCATTGTAAAGCATTGTGTTACTAGAACAGATATAATGGGCAGCGTACGAATCATTCTGGGAAGCTATAGTCAGCAAGTAAGTGCATCTAAGAATCAAAAATATTTGGTCCATAAAGCAGACAAGTGTATGTTCTGGTAATGAAGAGTCTCCTTTATAAAAATGTAAAGCTATCCCTGTGACAGGCTGCAGAGGCCCATAGGGTTGTGACACGTCAAACCTCCAACATTTTCTAGATAATCTGCCCACAAATGGCAGTGAGGTTGTTATCCTTATGCACCAGCTGCCCTTTACCACTCAGGAAGAGCCCTAGTACTCATTTCTATTAGAGGCTGAGTTGACCCCAGGGCCATACTGTGGCTGGAAGGATTGGATCAATTGAAAAATCCAGTGACCTCATCGGGAATCGAATCTGCGACCTTCCAGTGTGTAGCCTAGTGCCTTAACCGACTATACTACTGCGTGCCCCAGAGTCTTCTGTACATCTTGACTTATTGATCAAGTTGAATTTATGCATTTGATGTGTTACACTCGTAAATGGCCCACATTATGCCCTGTTAATCCTTTTGTTTTTAAAATGTCTTTTATTTACTTCTAGGGTTGACCTGTGGCATGTGACCAAGAATCTTGAAGAAAGACTATCAAAGATAGATCAGACTCGACTGGTCGCAGTTGATATGGTGAATGTAGTGACGCACCATTTTGAACGAATAAGACAGGCTCAGGCATCAGTGTGAGTATAATACTTTGAATTCAGTTATGAATGATTTGGTGGCTTCTGAACCCCATATCCACTACCTTTACCTACAGCTTCCAGACATTTTACAATATAATTTAAAATATTTTATCTTTGCATGTGTAAGAGAGCATTTCTTAGGTCCTTTGTGGTTTACTTGATGCTCAGGTTTGTGGGTACAAATCTGCTCTAGGGGTGCCCCAACCATAGAAATATTTTATGCTGTCCTGCAAAGGGAAGGGGGCGCAGAAGTCTGAAAGATTAACTCCGTGACCTGTAGTCCACAAGCATACTATACCAACTGAGTGACCGCCACTTGTCGGCAAAGTTAGAGCCAACTTTAGTGGATAAAGGGTGTTGTGTGGTCAGCGCAACAGATCCCTATGGCCGTTAATCTCGGTTTTCTAGACCAGAGCAGCTATTTCCTTGTAATAGCTCCTCAAATATCCTCACGAGGTTGAGTGGACCCTGTTCCAGGCACCCACTACTCAAAGGATTAACATAGACCAAATATAGAGGCACAGAACAGACACTTTCACCTCTGTGAAATTGTAAATGTTATCAGTAATACATTTGTTTTTGCACCAGGACAGGTGGGAAGCTGGTGGAATTTAACCTGTCTGCACACCTGACATCACCAGACAAAGAGCGAGATTATTTACGCCGGGTTTCAGAACGATGCATTGCTCTCCTCTTTCCACCAAACTATGCAGAGTGCAATCCAGTCAAGCATTTGTTACGTGAAATTCTAGCGTGCAAAGGTATGGCCATATGTATTACATAAGTTTAACTTCCATGATGTAAGAATTTCTTCTTGTCTCTTCGTTTCCATTTTATATGGGTCATTGGACCACAGGTCCCTAATCTCTTCTCTCTTTCCATTCTCTTTCGTTTTCACTGTCATGTCAGGTCTTCTCTTTTTAATGTCTTCCAATACAGAGCTAAACCTTTTCTTCCGTATATCTCAGAAGTCTCTTTTCTGTTTCAACTATAATGCTTTTCTCAATACCATTTTTCAATCCATTAATTAATTTTTGTTATCATTCATCGATCCATTCAGGTACATAACCATTGGATATAGAAACTATCAATAGATTACATTGATATATTATATAAGATTATCTTAGCATAAGATAAATAATGAAAATACTACTCTGTCCAAAAAGTACCTGACCTTGGGCCGGGAAAAAAAGTTCTGTATCTGGATGGTTACAATACCTTATCGCCTTCAAAGTAGGCTCCTTGTAACTCCACACACTTGGCCCAACGGTTCTTCCATCGCTGAAAGCAATTCTGGAAGGCTTCTTTTGGAATGGCGTGCAGCTGCGCCATCGCGTTTTGTATGATGTCCTCGCGGCTGTCAAAACAGCAGCCTTTAGCGGTGTCTTCAATCTCAGGGACAGCCAGAAATCACAAGGAGCCATGTCAGGAGAGTAGGGAGCCTGGCCAGGAAACCCTGGATCAGGTGTGATGAATGAGCTGGGGCGTTGTCATGATGCAGCTGCCAGTTGCGTGCGTCCCACAGCTCCGGTCTCTTGCACCGAACTAGATCATGAAGATGGCAGAGGACTTCTTGGTAGTTCTCCTTATTGACAGTCTGGCCTAGTGGTGTGTACTCATGATGCGCAACACCCCAGTAATCGAAAAAAACAGTCAGTATCGCCTTCACATTGCTCCGAACCTGTCGTGCTCTTTTGGGCCTCGGGGATGTTGGATGCTTCCATTGTGACGCCTGGACCTTGGTTTCTGGGTCATATCTGTATACCCACGACTCGTCACCAGTGATCACAGTCTTCAGGAACTCAGGATCCCTGTTGCTGCACTCCAGCATTTCCTGTGCGACCTCAGGGCGGAGTTGTTGCTGCTCTGGCGAAAGCAGCTTGGGCACAAATTTTGCCACCACTCTTGACATGCCCAAATCCTCAGTTAAAATTGTGTTTATGCAACCTCTGCTGATCCCACCCTCATCAGCAACTTCACGGATGGCCAAATGACGGTCCTCCATGATCAGTGTCCGCACTTTTTCAATGACATCAGCATTGACGTTCTCCCGAAACACTGCTCACTGTCCGCCAACATACGGCCATGTTTAAAGCGGTTGAACCACTCTTTAATTTGAGTGACCCCCATTGCATCATTGGTGAAAGCCTGCTGAATTTTGCGAATTGTTTCCACTTGGATATCCCAAAGTTTCTGACAAAACTTAATGCAATATCGCTACTTCAAGCATTCTGTCATCTTGAGTGAAATGAGAATGCGACGGACATGTGTTACACCACTTCGCTATCTGGCAGCCACAGGCGCATTCGGCAGTGTTGCAAGTCAGCAAAAAATCACGCATGTGCATGAAAGTCCCTTCTACCACTAAGCTCAGTTTCCCCACCCCTTTGGCCATTACTTACTTACTTACTTACTCATGGAGCTGAGCCCTTCTTGAGGAGCCGCCAATTCTGCAGCTACTCAAGAATTTCCCAGCATTTTATGGAACCCAAAGGTTCATCACCGTGTTCACAAGAGCCCTCCACTGGTCCCTATCCTGAGCCAGATCTATCCAATCCATACCATCCCGTCCTATCTCTCTAAGATCCACTCTAATACAAGGTGTGGCAATAAAGAACCCGGATTACTTTTATGACTCATTTCCGGCCACGTCATTGACGAAGAGGAGGGTAGGGCATTGACCCTTGGACTTCCCTCTACCGTCACACAAAGTTTCATTCACGTGCATCGGTTAGTCTGGCCGCGACCATTGTTAGAAGCGGATCGTGTTTCTGAGCTCCGTCGGAATAATGCTGAGTGCTAATGCAGAACAACGTGCTAACATCAAATTCCTCACAAAACTTGGAAAATCTGCCACTGAAACTTACAATTTGTTGACAGAAGTATATGGTGATCAGTGTCTATCTCGCACGCAAGTTTTCGAGTG